AGTCAGTTTTAATCCAGGTCAAAACTGCATGCACCAGCAAAATGAGACAACATAGAGAATAATTGAAATATCTGAAATTCATAGTGAACTCCAGTCCTTAGACAATATAATTGCATTAAAGAAATTGCATAAAAAGTGCTGTTTCATACTCAGGTGAGGATCCAGCGGTTAGGGTTAAACCATACTTCTCAGGCTTATTCTTCAGTGTGAATTTAGTCCAAATGTGAAGCTGACCTTTGTCAATTTCCTCCCCACCTCCAGGATTACAGTGCCATCACAGAGTCAGCTGAGAGAAGAGGAGGAAGGAATTTCCTCACTTTCTTACTCAGACTCTGAGTAGGTGATGCTAAGAGGGAATGGAGCACAACAGGTGCTGTAAGCAGGGAGGCAGTATGCTATGGGATGAAGGGAAGCTGCTGAGTTGTGACTCAGTTGAGATTGCCTTGTTTGTCATAGGAACTGTAATTTGGAAAGTGAAGACCAACACAAAAACAAACCTCACTCAATAAAGTGATAAATTGCCCTCTTCACTACTTCCCTCCTTATGTTGTTGCAGACCATGTGTAACTCCCACCTTAATCAGGGTGGGGAACATTCCAGGGTTCAGCACAGTAGATAGACTTTTTTTACATACTAGCATGGGGTTTAGCTCCTTCTAACGGTAAGTGCCTCTCTTCCAGACTAGCATAGGACATTCTTCTAGAGAATGTATGTTTATTAATTCTTCCCTCTATCTAGGACACTTATCCTGCAAAAGTAATGCCAAATGACTCCCCTTTGTTGAGACAACACCTATTTCTTCTGCCTCCAACAGGATACATGTCTTAAGTTCAGTATAACAGCTCCATTATCCTGTTCGTATGATCTTTGAAACCTTGATTTGGATTTTTATACCATTACTCTGTGATCTAATTTGGTGACTTCAGTCTTATAGGCTCCTATTTCCAAAACTAGACTTAAGTCATTTTGCCCTTTTATTGGTCCTTGTGTCCATGGTGACTTGTTGTTATCCCCTTGGAATCACACCCCTATTTACTTCCACTTCCTTTATTGCTACCCTTCCTTATCACTACCTTCAGACTCATCCTTCCCCCCTTCTCTTCCTTTGTCTTTCATCCATTTCACTACTTGATCATTCATATTGCCCCTTGATTCTCACTCCTGCAACTTCTGTTCCTATTCAGATGCTTCCTCATGCATCGGGATTTCCTTCCTTAAACAATGACCCTGCATCTCAGTAGGACCCCTAATGTTTTTTTACATTGCAGACTCAGAGCATTTTCAGTGTGCAGTAGCCTGTGCTTTCACATCTCCATCCCTACACATTTCCTGTTGTAATACACTTGCCCTTACTCGTCTCTTTGTCTGCTCACACAAGCACCAGCTTGATTGCTGTACCAATGCAGCCCCTTTCATCTCCTTTTGCACACCCTCTGGCTTCACCATCACCCCACCCCCTTCTCAGGCTCTCTTGTCAAATTATTTATAGGACACTGATTCACAGACCTGTTATGTCTAATTATATCCATTCACTTCTAATATGAATGACAATTCTGCGAGGAGTTAAGATTGCCAAAAATGTTTTGACCTAAAGAAGAGGAGGTAGTGGTTACGTATGCAGCTCAGAGCCTATAAAAGTATCCTGGGATCAGTGTGCTTTGTCCTTCCTCAGAAATCTCTAAGGTAAGAGTATCAGAGACTTTGGACTGGGGAGGTGGGGGACAAAGGGAAACTGGCCCTGCATTCCACAAGCAACAGTGCATTCCTACAGACAGCTCGCATTCATTCAGTGGGGGACTGCCACTGTCAGCTGGGATTTTCAGTCTGCTTTCAAGGCATCCATATGTTTTCTCTCTATAAATTTTCTCTGAAATTCTATGCAGCAGTAAGAAAGAAGTTGAAAATTCTGTTTTACAATACTGACCATCTTCCAGTCTGCAGGCCATTCATCTTGTCTCACAAAAGGTATGTGTCCATTGCATAAATACAGTACAAGAATTGGGCTAGATTGCTGATATCTTCCACAAGGTTCTCAAGGACTTAGTCTTACTCTTAGTCTTAAAAGTACTGACCATTGCTGCCTTGCCTACATTATCTCCAAGCAGTTTCTTACATTAGCAGACATTAGGTCCTAAGCTTAGCAGAAACTGTCCTAAGAATAAAAACCCCAACAAGAAGCAATTTCTAATTACTTGTCCATGAATTAAATATATTCTTGAAGTCAACAATTTTTTTTTTGTTTGCATTTACCTCAAACATCAAGCGTCACTGACACTAACTGTAAAGCAACAGAAAAACATATTTAAATAATATTTTCTTTTTTTACAGGCAAGTTTGGGGGATGGGGTTAGAATGTTGTGTATCAAAACATCAAAGTGTTAAAAGAAAGCATTTCAGTCCGATCTTCCTTGTAAGCTTGCTTTTGCCTATGAAAATATTGTACAGTTGTGATATATTTATATAAATAAATATTAATAATCACAGGAAAATAAAGAAAGGATGATACCTATTTGGATATGTAGAAAAAGAGACATGGAGCAGAAACTAAACTTGAAGTTTTAAATATTTGCACCCAGGAAAATTAACTGCTCCTATTCAATTTTACATTAATTTCTATGTATTTTGTCAAATATTGGCACTGGAATATATCCTTCAAAATTATAGAATGTCAAAAAGCTATCATGTGTAAAGAATATAGCTGGCATGCTTTGAAAAATTGGAGGAATGTTAGCATTGATGCCAGGAAAAATCATATAAAAGATTCTAAAGAAAATACTCATCAAATACTTTCAAAAGGCAATCTACTGACATAAATTTTATGCTGCAGTAATGTATACTCATCTACTATATATATTACACATTGTAATATTGCTATCAGGATACACTGTAAAAATAGTATACAGTATCTATACAAAAATACAGTATATAATATATGTGAAATATACATCATATACACTAATATACTATGATATATACTGACATAGCATATACTAATATATATAATATGCTAATATTATTCCTATTAGGAATCTTGTAAGAAAATGTGAGCTATTATAGGCAATACTGGTGAGAGATTGGATCCATTTGACAACCTTATGTAATTATTTTGTGAAATGGTTTAATTTCATTTATAACACTTTAAATGGAAAATCACGTAGTTAGAAATACATCAGTCAGGAGATTGCACCCATGCATTTGAATTGATAGCATTCAGTTGTGTCATGAAGTCTCTCTTTGCTGGCTAAGAAGGCAAGGCAATTTTTTTCACGTGTAAGCAGTGGAATACTCAGTGGAATGAGTTTTATAATGTACAAAAACACTATGCTCATTATTAAGATATCAATTCTGCTAGGCTGGCCATACTGCAATAAAGAGGTTACTAAATGGTAAAAGGTTGAGAAAAGAGTTTTAAAAAAACTTTCTAATTTCAGAGTATATTTCCTGCAATCAAAGTGAAACTGTTTCTCAAGGAAAAGTTAATAAATTTTTGCCTAGAAGTGTGCCATAGGTAAAAATATTGACAGAGGAATAAGATACTTAATTTATGCAGAAAAACATCTCAAAATCCAAATTGTAGGTGATGAATCTATATAAAATTACTTTAAAAATAAATGGATAAATTTGGAACAGTATTAATTTTGGAAAAATACACCTAAATACAAACTTTACAATTGTGAGAAACTTTCCAGTCAAGACAATTGTTTGGCAATAATAAACAGTGTTCCTGATAATATTTTTAAAATAGTAGTTAGTGAATGCAAAATTACTCGGTTTCTGTTAGCAAAAAGATCGAAGTGGAGAATATCAGCTTTGTTTGCAATTGGATCTGTGAAATAATTGAAATATTTGAAAACTTGGGATGTATTATCCCAATGAAATGTTTTTAATGATAAGTGCTAATAATATTAGTCCTCTGTATATACAGTGTACTGTGCATCTTTTAGTGTTTTATTGTAAACAAATCTCATCATCTGAAAGGTGCTGAACAAAAACTAGACAAGAGGGCTTTCACAATTCCAAAATTGGGAATATCTAGTGAGTGCAGTGTTTGAAACATTGGAATAGATCTGTTTAACCCACTAATTAAAAAACAAACAAACAAACAAACAAAAAACCCCACCCGAGTCTAGAGTTCTGTCTACATAAAACAGAAATAAACCAAACTAAATTATACAACAGAGCTGTGAATTAGCAGAAAATTGAGTCTGTTCAATCAGTTGATACATAAAGCAGAGCACCATCTAATTTACTCTGCTGTCAGAATGTTTCTTCCGTCATGAGCTGTTGAAATGTATTTTCTACCTTCACAGACATCTGCTGCATTACTCCCAGTGAATAGCAGCCATGTCATCAGACTCTGAGATGGCCATCTTTGGGGAGGCAGCTCCTTACCTCCGAAAGTCAGAAAAGGAGAGAATCGAGGCCCAGAATAAGCCTTTTGATGCCAAGTCATCCGTCTTTGTGGTGCATGCGAAGGAATCTTATGTGAAAAGCACAATCCAGAGCAAAGATGGAGGGAAGGTCACTGTGAAGACTGAAAGTGGAGAAGTAAAAAAAAAAAAATAAATTCAACAGTTGAGAATGCAACTGAATCCTGCTGTGGATCTTTAGATGGCAAATATGTATCTTTACTTTCTTTGGCAGACCCTGACCGTGAAGGATGATCAAATCTTCTCCATGAACCCTCCCAAGTATGACAAAATCGAGGATATGGCCATGATGACCCACCTCCACGAACCCGCTGTGCTGTACAACCTCAAAGAGCGTTATGCAGCCTGGATGATCTACGTAAGTACCAGCACCAGTCTTCCGTTGGGTAGCTAGGAGGAACTGCTCTGCCAGGCTAAGTGGAAGCCAACGTGCTGTCTCCCTTTCTCACAGACCTACTCGGGTCTCTTCTGTGTCACTGTCAACCCCTACAAGTGGCTGCCGGTGGACAGTACTGTAGTTTTTCTTCCCCCTTCACCCCCGTGTCGTCCTGCATTCAGTAAGCTGCAGCCATGTCATCAGACGCTGAGATGGCCATCTTTGGGGAGGCAGCTCCTTACCTCCGAAAGTCAGAAAAGGAGAGAATCGAGGCCCAGAATAAGCCTTTTGATGCCAAGTCATCCGTCTTTGTGGTGCATGCGAAGGAATCTTATGTGAAAAGCACAATCCAGAGCAAAGATGGAGGGAAGGTCACTGTGAAGACTGAAAGTGGAGAAGTAAAAAAAAAAAAATAAATTCAACAGTTGAGAATGCAACTGAATCCTGCTGTGGATCTTTAGATGGCAAATATGTATCTTTACTTTCTTTGGCAGACCCTGACCGTGAAGGATGATCAAATCTTCTCCATGAACCCTC